GGTGGCCGGTTGGCCACTGAAGCTTAACTTTGTGGATGAGGTATGGGATACTGCAGGCTGACCATATATGTAACGTAATAGGATACATGGCAGTCTGACAGTGAGGGTTAAAGATAGTACGCTTTCTGTGAGTCGAGACTTGACCCTAGGACAGCGCCTCCGAGATGCTGCCTGGCCATTTCTGTAATAAACTAAGCGGCAAAAGAAAGTATATGTTGGCAATTTGTAATTTTCCTAAAAACAGCGATAACTAGTGGAATATCGGTATTGGGAATATGACTGCCGAGGAACAGGTACCAAAAAACACCTCACTCGAACGCGCCACCTGCAGAAGGTTTGTCGTACACTATTGACAGTAGCCAGGCTGATTCAACGGTACGGGCAGAAAGGGAGGACACAGGACAGGCCTAGAACCGGACGACCCCGAGTGACAACACCACTGGAAGACGGTCAGATACGGCTCATTCACCTGCGAAATAGATTCGTAACGGCGACGGGGACGGCAGCAACAGCGTTGGGACATCCCATTAGCAAACGTACAGTACTACGACGACTTCGTGCTGCTGGAATCCGAGCGCATCGTCCTTGCCGAGGAATGGTACTGACTGCTCAACATCGACGCCTGAGAATACGATGGGCGAGGCAGGTTCGACGCTGGCAGGTGAGAAATTGGCGTCGAGTGCTGTTTACTGATGAAAGTCGGTTTAACTTGTTTCGAAATGACGACAGAGAACGAGTTTATCGACGCAGAGGGGAACGTTTGGCTCCGGCGTGTATTCGAGAGGTCCATCCATTCGGCAGGGGAGGTGTCATGGTGTGGGGCGGTATTTGTGGAGATCAGAAGACTGATTTGGTGATTATATAGGGAAACCTGAACGCTGTACAGTACAGAGACTAAGTGTTGCAGCCAGTTGTGCTTCCGTTCTTACAAACCAACAGCAGGGTACATTGTTTCAACACGACAATGCCAGGCCCAATACTGCAAGACTGACTCGGAACTTTCTAAACCAGCAGAACGTTGACGTTTTGCCCTGGCCTGCCCACTCACCCGATATGAATCCAATTGAACATCTGTGGGACCATCTTGGCAGACAGATTAGAGCACGCCATCAGCCTCCCATCAACAGACAAGAATTGCAGCAGGCCCTGAGAGACGAGTGGCAACGGATTCTAGTCCACGTTCTCAGAAGACTGACGTCATCGATGAGGCGGCGTATCACAGCATGCATTGAGGCAGCTGGAGGTCATACACGCTATTGAAGGCAACTGTGTCGACAATGAACTTGCAGTGTGTCTGACAATTTTTTGGTGACATTTCAGACAACTTTTGAAAATGAAATTTCTTACCCCACCATTGTTTACATTGAGCTTACTTTATCTGTGATTGCACAATTTCATTGTGGTTGATCAATCATTTGTTACCCCTCCCTAGATTATATAATAATTAACAACAAAACCTCTTCTTGTTATTTTTATGTCGATCATGGAACTCGACCTATACTTTCTTTTGCCGCCCAGTTTACTGTGTAGTTATATTAAGATCAAGAATAAACGTTGTAGACCCAAAGACGGACTTGTGTTGTCAAAAGCAGAAATAAAGAGAGCACCAACGTCTGTCTGGGATACCAGTGAACGCTTTAACAACAAAACTACCCCATTGCACTGTCACGATCAGTGTTAGTTCTTGCGTTCTATTTGAAAACCCTGGACGACCCAGGTGAACCTTGGTTGACCACCTGTTAGCTCATGTTAGCTGATTTGCGTCGTATTTTGGATGGCCGACATGTAAGTTACCAACACCTACTGAACCCTTGGGTACTCCCGTTAGCTGCCTCCAAGTGACGTCATCTATTTATTGATTTAGTCACGAATAAAATAATTTTAATGTAATTACTTAACAAGATGTTGATGCCGCTTTTTTATGGATAGCAACTTCTTTTATTCTTTGTACCTGATGTAAAACCCTAGCTATTGTGCTGTTGCATGGTTGGACAGGTGACTTCAAACGTAGACCTTTGAGAATTATCTTGTTATCTCTGCAGCGTAGTAGAAAGGTAAAGTTCTTGTTGGTCCTGATGTTCTGGGTGATGCTGTTGTACTGATTGATGTCACCTATAGCCTCATCTCCATGTTGATGTCGAATAAAGTCTCTGATAGGCATTTAGAAGTTGGGAGAACATGAATACATGACGCATTTTATGGATGCCACCTTCTTTTATTCTTTGTATTAATGATAATTCTATCCATTTTAGCTATCAAGCTGAATAAGATATCTTTATGAAAATGGTAAAATTAGAATCAGGAAAATGACATCTGATTGTTCTCTTCCAGATTAAGGACAACACGTTTGGCCATCGTTCTATTTGTACACCTTTCTGTGTCCGTTTATGGGTATTTGCCAAGCAAGAACTACGCAAAGGTTCGCTCATGCGTTGATCCATCCGCTACAACAGGCATTGGCAAGACTTCCTCAACATACGAGAGTAACGTGACGTGTGCGTTAGCGTGCTCATCGCACCCGTTATGCAGTTCCTTCAGCTTCAAGACGGATGGACATAAAGGAACATGCTACTTGAACCATATTGCTGTGGCTGAAGAAGGATGCGTGAACGAATTTACACATTTCAAGATACTAAATGTAAGTCAAAGTTGTATTGCCCTCACTAAGTTTCAAAAATGACATGGCATAAAATGAAATAAGCTATATCTTTTCTTGTAAATCCTAATAAAATTGTACTACTGATACTGTATGATGAACTAGGACAGATGAAGCCATGAAAATATTGTATCTGGCCCGAAATACGAAGAGTCATTTTCGTTTTATTTTGGAAACCTAAGTGAGGAGTTTCGGAGGAGGACAACACAAATGTAGACACGCGTTCCTCCTATTAAATATCAGTGAGGGCATGTCAATACTTATCACACACATACATGTGATTTCAACGACAGGAACTAAGGACATTCACTGTCTTATTTATGTTGGTTACAGGGTATCAACTCACAATGCAATGGCCATGGCGACTTTAACACAAGCAGCAGTACCTGTCGCTGTTACGATGGTTATATCGGTGACGCCTGTGGTAAACTTGCTGAAGGTACTGTTTACGCATATTTATATATTTCTCTTGATTTCAAAAGGTGAGAAGTTGGATTATACATATAGAATATCTCAAGTGTCTGCAGATATCAACTATAATACACAAATCGATGTGCAAGACTTGCATATGGGTCTTTCTTCTTTCGTTGACGAGTGTTGATATATTTGAGTGAGTGAGTGAGTGAGTGAGTTGGGTTTAACGCCGCTTTTAACAGTATTACAGTTATATCGCGGCGTGTCAGCTTAATGTGGGAGGAAAGCCCGAAGTGATGCAAGTCTCAGACGTTTACCACTTCGGTGAAACCCACGAGCACGGGTATGGTGCTGACAAACCTAGAAACATAATCGAGGCGAACCGGGATTCGAACTCACAATCATAGGTTTCTAGCTTGCCCAAGGGACGCAACTCTGCACAGCGAATCGCGGCGCCTTAGACGACTGGGCCACCCGTGTGTGTAGGTTTGTGTAGGTGTGTCTGTGGCTACTTGTACTAGTCCGGACTTGATCCGATTTTATTATATAGTGCCAGACCACTGAGACACCATGCCGCAGTTTAAAATGGATAGTCCACTCAGACACAGTTTACAGCCCCGGAGCCGACTAATCCTAGTTATATCCCTTTACTGCTGAGCGCTAGGCAGGGCAACAAGGGGTACCATGTCTTGACGTATGTTTGTATGAGACGCCCGGGGATCGAACCATCTACCTTCCGCTCTCCGGGCATATGCTCTATCCACTAGGCCACGGAGGCGGTCCGTACACAGATAACGTACTAACCTCCTATAATATATCGTATTATTGTGAATTACATTCCTTCGTTGTCAAGAGAAAATGTTTTTTTCAGATTGCAGTGAGGCATTCTCTGGGGGTCAATACAGTAACGAAAAGGGGGTCTTCTACGTTCAGCCTTCATCGCTGCATCCACCCTTCCTCGCGTTCTGTTACATGGTTTGGCTGGGCAGAACATACGTCATGTTGGATGCAAATTACTTCCCTTTTGTAGACTTCCACCGAAATTGGTACGACTATAAACACGGATTCGGTGACCTCGAACAAGCATCAAACACCCGAACTGGTAATTGGCCTAATTCCATTTTCTTTTGTTTCTAAGAACTATAGTATAAACTATATGGTAAGTATGTACACTTTAAAATAAAAGAGAAGCACCAAAGAGGGTTAGATGATCCTGGCACAGTGAATGTGACTTCCCCCAGAAAGTGCTGCCTTGTCGAACCCACCCAGAACTTTTCGGAGAATGTGAAGACTCCCCAACACTGCAGCCTTCTGATTGTCAGAATGATGTTGGAATTGATATTTGGAAATTGGTAGGAATTTATGAAAGGGTTCAAAGAAGGAATAGGATACACTATTTCTTGTATTAAATTGGAAGATATTCTTAAACTTTCGTAATATCCAGTGTCATATATATTGGTAACCTCAGAAAATGTCAGAACTAACCTAAATGCTCAGTTTCATCAAAATACTGCGATACAATCTGAATAAAATGAAATTTATGTAAACTTTGACATCTGTAGTATATTCCATATCGTATGCCATCATCAGTTATTGGTCATATTGAGTATGAAGTAAATGACGTGTGTAGTGAGACAAGAATGCGAGAAAGACGGGTGATGGAGAGTCAAATTAATTTCAACTTTAAGGGGATATTTACAACTAAAATGACACAGAATATTACTACAGCTATCTGATATGCCCAGGCTAACATTATTTACCAGAAATAAGGCATCTCGAAAAATTGCATCCGGATACCTGCCGGATACCTTCTGGATACCTTCAGCAATGTTCAATTTTCTTGGTTAGTTTCCAATATAAATTTAGGTGTTTCACACTTAATTGAACAAAATTAACCCCCCAAATTGTGACATGTTTTTTGAAACTCAGAATGAGGTATCCGGTGCCGGATCCTTGGTATCCAGTGCCGGATCCTTGGACACCCAGATTGAGGTATCCGGTGAGGTATCCGGTGCCGGATACCCGGATTCCAGGTGGCATACTTTCAGGTGAGGTGTCCATGCCGGATACCATGGATCTGGTATCCGGCAAGGTATCTGCCACCGGATACCTGGATGCGTTTTGGGTAAGTGTCCGGAGGTATCCGGCAGGTATCCGGATACCGGAAACTGCATTTTTTTTGCTGTGTAACATTATATCAAGAGGCCATTCGTACGTACTTTGTCGTGTTTGTAAGTGGATAGCGCTGCTAGAATATCGTTTGTTAGATTTGGAATGCAACTTTTGAATAACAGTTACAACAATGTAGTGTCAGACTTCAGTATCAGTTGGTTGATTTGCGATGGGAATGTAACAGTGATTTGAATACAGGTAATTTCTGGATCGGCAACGAGTTGCTGCATTATGTCACCAACAACCGACGTCACGCTTTGATCGTTGAAGCCAAGTTCAATGGACAACCGTATAAGCAGTATCAGTATTACGGATTTGTGGTAAGTGTATGAAGTAGAATCGAACCCGGGTCTTCGGCGTCACCAGCGAACGCTTTAACAACTAGGATACCCGACCGCCCCTAGTAGAAGAATGAAGCGGTTTTAAATTCAAACCGCTAGCGAAGAAAGAAGCGGTTTGAATTTATAACTGTAAATAGATCTAGAGTACTTTGTAATATGACTTCATGTATTCATGCTTGTTACAAGAGGAGACCTGGTGTCATCACTCATTTCAGTGATCCATTGATATAAAAAGAAAAACAACAACTTTTCACCAACATTTTCCCTTTTACGCCAAATGGAATCCTATTTGGCAGATTATCGAAACTGCTTATTTTCTTGCGTTGAAGTTTGATATTTGCGGTATATTCGCTATTAACATTATAAAACAACAACATTTATTACCATTGCTCGACATCAAAATTCAGTTCGTTATGTCCTTCTTGATATCAGACGTTGCGCAGGTTACAATGTCATATTAAGTCACAGTGCTAGGCTGTTCAGTGTTAGTGTAACATGCCGTGATGGTCAGTTCCTGCCGTGATGGTCCAGCACACATGTTATTTGTTGTTTAAAAATGCACATACCGCACATGGTAATATACCTGCATAGCTGTAACGGGTAGAAAATGGTCGGTACAGATATGAAATATAGGAAAACCATCTTATATCCAGATTAAACAGAAGATTTCATGTTCTTTTTGTACAAAGCAAATTGGATCAATAAGTTTGTCGTTTGCGTTCAAGATACTTTTAATGTCATCTTCAGGTAAAAGGTGAAGACGAAGGTTACGCATTCACCTTTGAATTTGGAGGCCCAAATGACAAAAACGTGCTTGGCGATGGACTGACGCTGGCTAATGGGACCAAGTTTTCCACCTACGACGTTGACAACGACCTCAGCGTTGACAACTGCGCAGACATTCACCAGTCAGGGTGGTGGTTCACGACATGCGGGGGCTACAACCCCACAGGACAACCGCAGCCACCATCTGACACATACATGTCATTTGATCCTCTCGCTCTTTCTTGGCCAGTTCCTGGAAACTATTCACCGGTGTCTTTAGAAATGTTTCTAACACATGGCCTGCCGGAAGTGTTCAGGAGTGGATGATTGATTGCATATGGTTCAACGCTGCTTTAGATATTAATTCTGTTATACAACCATATTGAAAAACTTGTTATGGCCATTACTTGGTCATTTTTATACAAAATGTCATGACATTTGATATGTTTGTAGTTTGCAGTAGGGCTTGGCGTATGTGTTCCGCCTTTTTAGATATTTTTATGTACTGACATTTATTTAACCTTTGTACTTCGACCATACTGAATGCTGAAACATTACTCAGCCTTTTCCTTTGAAAATGTAATGACAGATGGCATGTGTAGTTGGTAGGGTGGCTTCACACATATTTCTCCGTTTATCGTGATATATTGATATTTATGTTACCTTTGCACTTTGACATTGCTCTTCGATTCTCTAGAACTGTATTTCCTCGTACTGTAAACACTATCTCCCCAGAAACAGTGACCAATAAAACTGAAACTTCCCTTTCTCGTTCCCACGTATGATAAAACCTGACTTTGTTTAAGAGTGAGTGAATTTGATTTTACGCCGCTTTTAGCATTATTCCAGCAATATCACGGCGGGGGACACCAGAAATAGGCTTCACACATTGTACCCATGTCGGGAATAGAACCCGGGTCTTCGGCGTGACGAGCGAACGCTTTAACCACTAGGCTACCCGACCGCCCACTTTGTTTAAGAGGTTGAATCCGATGTTCAGTAGAAAGGAAAGCAATTCATGGCCAGACTCAAATATTTGGTACATGTGTAGATTGTAGTGGGGCTCAACGTATATGTTCCGTATTTTAAGTTTTAACCTTGGTTTGGCCTCTGTATTTTGACCATAGTGCAGGCTGAAACTTCCTATGGTCTATATTGAAACCTTTTCTTTCAAAATGTAATGCAATTTGGTGTAGCTGGGAGTGGGTGTTATGCGTTCTGCTTTTCGCGATGTTTTACATTTTGATATCTATTTGGTATCTGCAGTGTTACCATGCTCATACATTCTCTCAAAACGTATTTTCCCAATAGGCCAATAATTATTACGGCAAGTGATACGAGAAACACAGATAAGCTTCACCCAATGTGTCTATATGGAGGTATTGGAAGAAGAATGTACTTTTTCAATGGTGTAATTATATTTTGCGCCCCATATTTCTGACCTGTAAAACAAGAGTGGCGCTACTTTGACGTATAATATTGCACAAGCTGTAGAAAGGGATACATGTATATTTTGCTAGAACAAATTATAGATAGCGGTAATTGATGTTTGCGATGGTAATTGTTTGCACGCCATTGACCACGCTAATTTTATAATTCAGATGATTCATAATAAGTAACAATGTTTAAAAGGAGAAAAAAATAATTAAAGAAGAAATTATCTGATTTGACAATTGTCGTGCACAGCCGCCATGGGAAACTTGGTAATATGCAGCGGAATAACTTCGGCTGCATCCGTCAAAAGCCGAAAGTGTTCGGATGCTGATACTGTCGGTTCCAGTAGGGGCTGTGTGTTAGTGCTAATGAGAAACTGCTATTACGACGATAGTTACTGCATTTATATCGCATACTCCTTCGTATTTGGTAGCTATACACACGATATCGCTTACATTAATTCCGATAATGCTTCTTTTCATTTAAATAAATTGGAGGGCATGCTGAGAGCGCTTTTCGTTGACGAAAGCAGATTCTGCTTATTCCATGATGATTGTCGTACTTGGGTTAACCATTGTCGAGGGTCGTGGGAGGCGATTCGGGAAGTGCATCCATATGGTGGCGGTGGGGTAGTGGTTTTGATTTCCTGGCAGCGCACAACGTCGCCGTTTTTCAATGGTCAGTTCACTCCCGGACTAAAACCCCATTGAACTCTTGGGATCATCTGGATCGTCAGAGCAGGAGGCATCCTCATCAACCATAGAACCGTCTTCAGCTGGAAGCAGCACTGAGGGACAACTGGCAACGGATTCCATATAACGTCATCAGGCGGTTGACAACGTCGATGTGACGACGAGTCTGGGCGTGCATTGGTTCTTGTGGTGGTCATATTCGCTGTTGAGAATTCTGGTATCTGTGAACCAACGCAAATTGATCGTGACAATACCTTCTTCACCTTGCTCATTACCGTGGACTGTGAAAATGCGGTGTTCCTTAAGACGTCATGTGCACGTCACCTGTTGTGAAATACTCATTGATATGATGCATGTAGCATCACCTATGACCTATACTTCAAATTCGAATAATTCTTTTTTTTGTAGCCACTATCAACATGGGTGTATATTTTCTTTTTACCAGCAATTTACAATCAAGGTAACTTGAAACGTATAGATAAGACTTGAGACGTAAGCTATCAACATCCCATCTTTCTTTCTTTGAGCATCTCAAAGACGTTGTTTGATCAGGGTTACAGAATTCAAGGCCTTACTATTAGTGACCAAAATGATGTCCGATTGCAATTCCATATTTTGACTTGCACCATATGTTCCTACGGAGTTTCAGGTTTACATTTGACTTGCCTTTACATGTGTTTGTGACGAGTCCCTATGGTGGGGCAGGATACGCACACCTTTCCGCGAGCACCTGGAATCATCACTATTTGATAGTGATTCATGAACACATGCCTGTGCCACAGCATTGCATATTCTATTATCATTAACAAGACACGTAAGTTAAGGATCATTTAAGAATTTTTATCATATCATTTCGCTATTATCTCCGTATATTTATGAGATGCCTTTTGGTTATGATAGGTACTTTTTGAAGAACTACAGACGTTTTGCCGTGGACAGTTACCAAGCTAGTAGGGGCAAAGGTATCGAGGTTGGCATTACATTAATGTGTCGTGACAAATATACAGCGACATTTGGCATCCGTCTAATGTAATGGTATCGGGTATTAAGGTGATTTGTGTGTGACATAAATGCATGATCTATTTCATTTATTGTTTTTTAATTGTTTCACGTACCTAGAACTACTTTTAAGATATCAATTTCCAAAAATTAATTTTCCGTATTTATACAAACGTACCCAGTGCAAATAAACACGCAGAACAAATAATTAAGAGAGACCTTGGAAATGTTTAGGTTCTTAGTTCGTTTGTTTTCTATCTTGGGCTGCGAGTAAAAGAGATGTGTTTCCATTAGTGAGTTCGTGCCCGCAACAGCAGGCACTGTCTTGTGTAATCAGTCAGGAAAACAGTATACTAATTGGGAGTCAAAACAAACATAACATCGTTATCGTCCCCAATATCGCATTTATAATTTGATTGTGTTTACAAGACACCGATCTCAATTGATTTCCTTTAAGTGTTAAGTGTTAAACAAATAGATCATACTGCCAAGACGTTATGCGTAACTACAGATATGGGTGTCGCATTTATACGTTTTCAATATCATTGATTCGGTACATATTTCTCAAGATCATAGTTCACCGACATCGACGCGCTCGTTCTGTTATACTCAGAGCGTTGAGCTGCCGTGCAGTGTTCAAGCGTCACGTCAAGGTAGGTAGGGGATATAACCCCACGGGGATGTATGAAGGTATCGCGATGGTACATGACACATCTTGATGGTTAAGGCGTGCCAGAAACCCATGATTGTGGCTTCGAATCCCGGTTAGTCCTGATTATTTCTTCCTGGATTTGTTATTCCAATGGGCCATACACATGCTCGTGGGTTTCACCGAAGTGGTGAACGACTTGCATCATTTCGGGCCTTCCTCCCACATCAAACGGAAAACTGTTCAAAGCGGCATGAAATAATATTCACTTACTCGCCTTGATGGTTGTACTGTGTATTTATGGACTCCATATCCGTAACATAAAATTTAACGACACTTCGAACTAACACATAAAACAAATCTTGTACGGAATAAGGCATGCAAGATTGACTATATAAAACGTGTTAAAACATTCAGGAAACATTATTTCCAAGGATGTTCGCTTGTCTTCATTGTGAAGACTGTAATTGTCAAGTTGATTCTTCTAAATTTCAGGTGACCATGACCATGTTTTTGTAGGTAATTCCACGATGAATGTGCCGGTCTCCATCACCTTCATCTGCTTAATGGCTACCTCTGCGTCTGGGCTCTTATCAAACAACATCTACAACAGAGTGGTTTCATGCTTAGACCCACTCAGTGTTAACGGTACAGGCATTGTGTCATCCAGCACCAGGGCTCATTGTGCTTTATCTTGCTCTTCGAGTCCAAGGTGCACTTCTTTCAGTTTCAAGGCAGAGGACGATGGAGGGAGTTGCTATCTCAATACCAACGTAGCATTGACAGACACAGAATGCGTTACCCCCGTTCAGGTCTTCAGGTTGTACAATGTAGGTTGACATTCAAACATATTTTTGTTTTGTTTTGTTTTGTTTTACGCCGTAGTAATCATTATTACAGCTATATCACGGCGACTTGTAGACAATCGAATCTGAGACATATGAACCAGTGGCTGACATTATGAGAAACGTCGCACGTTATCGGAGTACGATGAAACACAATGAACCAAGCCAATGATCCTGAACGCCAGATCAAATGTAGTCGCCTCTTCCGACAATACAGTGTTGGTGACGTAATTCTAGCCCGGTTGCCAATGTGTATGTAGTAGATTATTAATCTACGCTGAATTGTATCCATATTACTATTCGTTAAACACACGTGCCACATTAATACCAGTTATTCCACTTGGTGAACAAATAAAGTTTTTAACATACATTCGGTTTTGTAGGAAAAGGATCAGGTTTGCAACGGTCACGGTGTCTACCTGACGAACAGAAGTAAATGCCGTTGCCACGATGGGTATCTCGGAGACAGTTGTGAAAGACTTATGCAAGGTACGTATAGTTGTGGCCCTGTTTTAGACCGATTGTAAGGTGAAACTAGTGTGGTTTATATATTGGTGTTTAAGATATGTCCTGTAACATTACCATTACTATTATAAACCCATTTTCTAAATGTTTCTACTATGATCATAGCTAAACTCGCCTGTATCACTCAACGATAAACACATTTCACTTTGACCCCAGGTGATTTGGAAGCCTTGTAGTTAAAACGTTGGTTCGCCACAACGAAGGCACGGGTTCGATTCTTAACATTGGTACGGGGTGCGGAGCCCATTCATGGCGACGTAACACCCAACTGATTCACTCAAAATTGACATCTGTACAGTAAACAAAACACTCGATGACAACCTCTTTCAATGATTCTTAAAACGAGATCTTGTATTGAATTATTAATGTAACATCTACTGAATATATGTGTATTTGTAAGGATTGATTGCTGATTGTCCATTGGAAGGCATTTGGCGGCCATTTCCTCATTAGACGCATCCATGACATGTATGATGTCTGATGACTTTACCTATTTTGACATATACATGTACCATATAATACAGGACATTTACCATCCCCAAACACACAAGCGTGAATACCTTTATAATGACATTCTTCAATTCTGCACTCTAAAACTCTCTTCCCATCTCTCACAAGCATTACTTTAACATTAAAAGTCTCCTTGAATTTGCACATTAATATATATTACGTCAGAAGGTAAGTGATGTGACAGTCGGTCAGTGACAACAGTCTGTACAGTTCTAACTGCAACCTGTTAACTTTTACAGTGGCGTAACTTAATATAGCGGCGTAACAACAACTGACTCACAAATTCTTTCTACTTGACTTTCGCTAGAGTAACTGCCCTTTATCAAAGGGAGGCTACCTCAACCCTAGTCTTTGAGACGTCACGTTTGTTAATAGTCTGCCTGTCCAGTCATAACGTTACGAAGAGCGGTCATATGTACACACAGCGACAAAACGAAACAAGGTTAAAAATTCGGACATGTTTTGGCCAAATCCAATTGTTTTAAAGCCGCAGATGTCTACAAGAACAGCTACATGTATCGAAACTGATCTCGCTTGGCTAGTAACCTCGTTAAATTGTTTCGCAATTTTTACCTCCAAAGATGCCAAAACGTGTAAAATGCCTTAGCTGCGTCAGAGTTAGACATTGGTTTTCAGTATATTAGACTATTCTTTTGATAATAACAGCAATTATCCGAGCAGTTTCTCCAGATTACCTATTAGCAATTGTTATTTACATCTCTATCCGCATACGACCCCAACGGATATCGTTTTTATCCGTTGGCTATATCCTGCCGAGAAACCTACCCAATATATATATTGTGTTGGTTTACTGGAGTGAGAACGCTTTCAATCGTGCAAGTTAATATCGTGTAAGCGCCAGCTCTTGCCACCTACACAATGTGAAATTCATTTCTTAAAAAATCGTACTTTGAAGATCAAGAGATGTAAATTTTACTGTGATGCACATTTTAGGGGATTTAAGTTACCGGATACATTATATTGGAATGCAGGGACCCAGTTGCTGTGTCTTTCAAAATAGGAGAAAATGCTACACAGTTTAAAATCTGAATTTTGATTTGTTTACATGTCAAACAAGTGCAGTTTTTCGAGCACAACGTTTGTTTTCACACCTAATTTATGTCGCTTGAGTTCATCCAGACAGTTTATATGCCTATTGGTGATAAAGACCATTTATCATTCGATTCTAAAATGTATGAGGAATTAGGGATACATGTACGGCTGCTGAGTTTGAAATATGCGTGATGAACTATGCGTGATGTAATAGGTGACCCATAACCGTCATAAGCAAAACGGGTTTTTGTAAACAAAAAACAATATTGCGGACAGTTAACTTTGCTTTGGAGCTCGTGTTTGCGTATTTTCCAAAACATTCTAATTGATTCTAGTGATATCGGCGACGTTTCAAAATGACCATTGGTGATTTGATAAAAATCCAGATACCCGTGATCAGTACACTAGTACTGTTCACTTATATGCTATATTTGAAAGGCAGGTCTCCGAGTAAAATTCCGATATTTTGATTTCAAAACATACACTTAATAACGCCGTAGTGGTGATTTAGTAATGTGTCAGAAATGGCGACATTTACGAAGTTCCGAATTTACAGAGGTCATTTTCAGTAAGCTTGCTTTGCCTAAAATGACAGTGTATGATAACCCAGAAAATGGGATTCACCACAGAACTGATAACTTGCGGTGTATTTGTGTGCGTGATGTATTTTGAATTTTATTTGACATATATGTCCCTCTGGCATCCATTGGTTAGCGCGAATATGTTTTACTGAAACATTGTGTAAAATAGGAATGTTCATAAATTGCCCAATATGCCTCTCCTCAAGAATGTGGTAAGATGGCGATCGAGACAGCAGAGAAATGTTTAACCCGGGGATTCCCTATGAAAAGTAGTTCCGGTCAAAAATCGTGTAAACGTCAAAAGGTGAAGTTAATACTTTGTAAACGCAGTACATGTTAAAGCATAGTTTATGCATATTGCAAAATGAACGGGTCACGTGAGCAGCAAATAAAACCAATCACATAGGCGGAAATCCCTTAAACTGCAAAATACGAATACATACTTTCCAACTATTCCAGATTGCACGGAAGGTTCCGAGTATTATGACAAAGAAAAGGGACTCTTTTTCATCCAGCCACGTTCATCGAAGGCTATATTTCGCGTGTTCTGTAACATGATTTGGGGCGGCAGAAGCTACATGATGATTATAGAGAAGGATGGACCATATATGAACTTTACGAGAAGTTGGCAAGAATATAAGGATGGATTTGGTGTCTCCGAGTATGATGTCATTAACAAGAAAGGTATGAGTTTATCAATCTTAAATGTAATATTTATAAACATCGTTTTTTCATCAAGAAGACGAGAGCGGTACGTTTATGTATGTGTTGCCATTCCTTACGGTTTTTTTGCAAATTGTGTGAGTGGCGCCTGCTACCTGTAGTGCAGGACATGCTCGCTCTTTTCGTGAACACCTGGTGTCACCACTGATTTCTGGGATCCATCTAAATAAGTTTCACAGGTAGGGCAGGACATGCTCGCTCTTTTCGTGAACACCTGGTGTCAACACTGATTTCTGGGATCCATCTAAATAAGTTTCACAGGTAGGGCAGGACATGCTCGCTCTTTTCGTGAACACCTGGTGTCATCACTGATTTCTGAGATCCATCTAAATAAGTTTCACAGGTAGGGCAGGACATGCTCGCTCTTTTCGTGAACACCTGGTGTCATCACTGATTTCTGAGATCCATCTAAATAAGGTTCACAGGTAGGGCAGGACATGCTCGCTCTTTTCGTGAACACCTGGTGTCACCACTGATTTCTGAGATCCATCTAAATAAGGTTCACAGGTAGAGCAGGACATGCTCGCTCTTTTCGTGAACACCTGGTGTCATCACTGATTTCTGAGATCCATCTAAATAAGGTTCACAGGTAGGGCAGGACATGCTCGCTCTTTTCGTGAACACCTGGTGTCACCACTGATTTCTGAGATCCATCTAAATAAGGTTCACAGGTAGGGCAGGACATGCTCGCTCTTTTCGTGAACACCTGGTGTTTCCACTGATTTCTGAGATCCATCTAAATAAGGTTCACAGGTAGGGCAGGACATGCTCGCTCTTTTCGTGAACACCTGGTGTCACCACTGATTTCTGAGATCCATCTAAATAAGTTTCACAGGTAGGGCAGGACATGCTCGCTCTTTTCGTGAACACCTGGTGTCATCACTGATTTCTGAGATCCATCTAAATAAGGTTCACAGGTAGGGCAGGACATGCTCGCTCTTTTCGTGAACACCTGGTGTCATCACTGATTTCTGAGATCCATCTAAATAAGTTTTACAGGTAGGGCAGGACATGCTCGCTCTTTTCGTGAACACCTGGTGTCATCACTGATTTCTGAGATCCATCTAAATAAGTTTCACAGGTAGGGCAGGACATGCTCGCTCTTTTCGTGAACACCTGGTGTCATCACTGATTTCTGAGATCCATCTAAATAAGGTTCACAGGTAGGGCAGGACATGCTCGCTCTTTTCGTGAACACCTGGTGTCACCACTGATTTCTGAGATCCATCTAAATAAGGTTCACAGGTAGGGCAGGACATGCTCGCTCTTTTCGTGAACACCTGGTGTCATCACTGATTTCTGAGATCCATCTAAATAAGTTTCACAGGTAGGGCAGGACATGCTCGCTCTTTTCGTGAACACCTGGTGTCACCACTGATTTCTGAGATCCATCTAAATAAGGTTCACAGGTAGGGCAGGACATGCTCGCTCTTTTCGTGAACACCTGGTGTCACCACTGATTTCTGAGATCCATCTAAATAAGGTTCACAGGTAGGGCAGGACATGCTGGCTCTTTTCGTGAACACCTGGTGTCACCACTGATTTTCAGAGATAATTTCAAATAAGTTTCACCGCTAGGGTGCCTTTTGATCCCTATGAAATCAGTTTCGGTGGATAATCGAAAGTGATTCTTGTCTGGTGTTGACATTGTATGTTTACATCCCTCTTTAATTTATGGATATACAATTTCATCTCTCTGAATTAACAAATACAGTATTCATCCTCCAACATTCAATCTACAAGCTCCCGAACGATGCGGATAATATATAACGTATTGCTGATTATTCAAATACAGTATTCATCCTCTGACATTCAATCTACAAGCTCCCGAACGATGCGGATAATATATAACGTATTGCTGATTATTCAATAACCGATCCAAATCAAGCAAATAAAAACTTACGAGGCTAAGTATTAAAGTTTCGTCAGTCCGAGATGAGGGAATCAGACTTATATAAAATCCCTTGTTAATCCAAAAATTGCGTTATGCCTTTGTGAATTTCTTACAATAGTATTTTTTCGTCCACTTTACACCCGGCTAATTCGCATTATGACAAGCCTGTTTAGCGACTGAGCACCACGCATTTTAATGCTCGTTAATCCAACATGTATATATGATCAACCGATCGTTAATATACGGGTCCCAGTTTTGGCATGACTTCAAATGCACTGGCAATTAGATCGGATTCCACTGATTGAGAGTACGCTGCCTTGCATGTTCACATCCATATAAAAGCGACAAAGACATGCCCCAAACCATACAGTGATGTCGATCATTGTACGGTTCCGACTGTATTATAATCGTGTGTGTTTGAATCACTATCACTATGGCAATAATCTAAGTACTCACTGATCACTAGTTTGACACGAGTGAGTAGAATGTAAAATAGAGTTTGACTTTCCCACCAGACTAGATATCCGATGATAGTACAGGCTCTTTGTTCTAGCAGGGAGATTCATAATTATGTAACAATTTTCTATTTATAAAACTGCATGGTTGTAAAGTTAAGTTTTTTAACCAAATCTGAAACAGTTTCGGTTTGCAATAGATAAAAGACTCCTGTAAGTGTTCAAACTGTTTAATTTGCAATACTGACTTCAGAAAATGCGTGATTTCATAAAAAATATGAACATGCCAAAATGTCAATTTACAAATCAATAGCGTGTGTGTCCACCTCTGGTTGCGATGCAAGCAACACATCTTCGTCTCATGGAATGGACCAGGTGTCGCACAAAGTCCTGTGGGATATCTGTCCATATCTGCTGGAGCATGTTTCGATGTTCCTGGAGTGTCTGTGGAACACGTGGTTGACGTCGAAGGCGCCTATCCATCTCATCCCACATGTGCTCGATTGGTGAGAGATCAGGGGTGCGAGCCGGCCAGGGGATGACATTCACGTTGTTTTGTTGAAGAGAATCCTGAACGAGCCGAGCAATATGAGACCGGGTGTTGTCATGTTGAAAGGTAATGCCTTGGCCATGACGACGCAAAACGGTAGAACAACAGGGCCGATGATCTCGTCGCGGTAGCGCTGTCCATTGAGATTTCCCTCTACCACTATCAAACGGGTCCTCTGTCTTGCTGTAATCCCACCCCATACCATAACGCTGCCGCCCCCGAACCGATCTTCTTCCATGACATGATGATTGACGTAACATTCATCTCGACGTCGGTACACTCGAATCCGTCTATCGCTGTGGCTGAGGTGAAAACGAGACTCGTCAGTGAATAGAACTTGTCCCCACTGCATAGCCGTCCAGCGTAGACGCTGTCTGCACCACTGTAGACGTGCTTGATTGTGGTTTCCTGTCAAAACGGGACGTCTGGTGGGTCTTCTGGCGACAATCCCTGCACATCTGAGGCGACGACGTACGGTTTGTGAAGATATTCGTCGAAGGCCAGGCATGCTTCTTGCAGTCACTGTTGCTGGCTGGAATCGATTTTGTAGGTGTGTTGTGCGAATCCAGTTGTCTTGTCGATTATTGGTTACGCCACTCCGAGGATGGTCTCTGGCTGCATTCGTATGTTGCCAACGTTGCCATAAATACCTAATGGTGTTTCTGGGGACGTTAAATTGTCTTGCAACATCATGTTGACTCGATCCTGCTTCAAGCATCCAAATGGCTCGCAGACGCCCCTTTTTTGGACAGGCGTGGCATTTCGTAATGTTGAATAATTGCGTAATTTTATTGTTTTTCTGAGTGGTTGTTGTCAGCACGATGCTAAACAATGCATATGGAATCCCGTTAACGCACATGTTTTTATACCCACTTTTGCATGGAATGCATGCTTTTCTGTAGCAGTTGCGTTTTTGTGACTTGATTCCATACATGTACTACAATATTGAAAACCAAACTTTACTTGTTGAAAAATACACTAAAATATTGGTGTCACAGGAACTGTTGTTGTTGAGTATGTTTAGATTTTAACCTGATTCATTTAGAGCGTATTGCAATGATTCGCCACGTGCTGAGGGCGTGATGCTCACATAAAATACCATAAATAACGTTATAGAGCCATAAATCAATCAATTACATTTAACGCGGATTGTTTAAAAATCACATAAGTCTGTACAGTTAAATTATGTTTAAGTTAAAAGTTAGAAAACTTCACCATTCCCTCCCAATTGAAACAGGTAACACATGCATCCCCTATCGTGGTCAAGAGGGGATATTGCTTTACCGCGAGAAAGTGATGTCCCCTCTCGGCCACCATACTCTCGCCTTTGTCACGAGCGATACTTCTGCTGTGATGCGCTTTATCGTAGATACAGGCAGACCAGTGGCTCTTAAGCTTGATAATGCTTGAAATTTATTTGTACATTCTTCTCTCCGTGTAATTTATGACATTATGGACCAATTCACGAGCCCGAGAATGTATGATTTGGCCATGCTTACCTAGCTTTGACAAGCTAATTTGTTTATTACAACTTTTAGAGAATTCTGGTATCGACTTGTTACACAGACCTCTTAATAGTCTTATAGTCTAATTCGTTAATCAAGAAGATTTCATGGGAGGGCCATCCAAGTATCATATGTATATCATTACACACCAACAAAACAATATTGCCTATACAAAACGGAAGCGACATGTATAATAGCGGTATACTTACCATGTAACTTTCTTCTGCATACAGGGAGTTTCTGGGCTGGCAACGAGATGCTGCATCAACTTACAACTAGCCGAAGGTACACCCTCACTGTTGAAGCTGGTTACGAAACCTACAAACAATACATTTACGAGGGATTTGTCGTACGTATAACATATACTATACTCACCGCCAAAAGAAACGCGAAACATATATAGACACCTATAGAGAAGTATGTACGTTAAGAAGAGATGTTTCCGATATGTTCCAATTAATGACAAAACTAACAATCAGTCAAGAGTTACCACTGTCATTACTCTTATCACGATATGCTGCACGTAATGTTCAAACTTTACAAGCTAATCCTGACAAACGGTGAATTTCGATTCATGGGTCTATGACGTCACATGTGATGCGTTCATGAGCGTCGCTTCACACAACACACCAGTATGTTCCTTTGTGCGTCCAACCAATCTCATCTCTTAAATATAAATGTGTTTTCGTATTTTAACATACATGTTTGGTATTCGCGTTTCTTTCGATGGTGAGTATATATTGTACTATTCTTTTCAAAAGACTTTAGGGAATGGGTATACTAGTACTGTTCAAACAAGTCCAAGAGAAGAGAAATCTAAATAATATCACGTTTGTATGAAGTATTGTTGACGACAGCCATATTTACATATGCTGACATAGAGATCTTTTATTTCTGAGCAACAAGCCCATTATGTTGTTCTAGTTAGTCTAACAGTAACTATCAAAAGTAAGTATAAATTTCCTCTCCATAATGATTAAGGGACATATTTGGTAGCTTCGTCTTAATCACTGTGGGTTCGAATTCAAGATTCGTAATGTTTATGCTCTCTGGCTGTCGTTACAACACTGATGTTTGTGGATTTCACGAAAGTGATAATTATCTTCGACCTGCATCAAGGGGGCACGGGTGGCCCAGTCGTCTAAGGCGCCGCGATTCGCTGTGCAGAGTTGCGTCCCTTGGGCACGCCAGAAACCTATGATTGTGAGTTCGAATCCCGGTTCGCCCCGATTATGTTTCTAGGTTTGTCAGAACCATACCCGTGCTCGTGGGTTTAATCGAAGCGGTAAACGTCTGAGACTTGCATCCCTTTGGGCTTTCCTCCCACATTAAGCTGGCACGCCGTGATATTACTGGAATAATGTTAAAAGCGGCGTTAAACCCAACTCACTCACTCACTTGACCTACATCATATCAGGCTTTCCTCCCAAATCAAGCTGACGCCGTGATATAACCGATATACTGATCAAAGCGAAGTTAAACCATACTCATCCACTCACTAACTCAAATTAAATTTCAAATTAGTTTATTTGTGTGTGGGCCTTTGGCCCATACACAAGAAATGCAATGCCAATAGTACAATGTGAAACACATTACATGGATTTTAAGACGTCATGTCTTTTTTTGTATGCATAATATACATAATATTGCAGACGTTTTAATAACTCATCCTGAGTTGTACACAAAAGACTTTTGAATTTATATATAGTTGGAAATTTCCGATATAATTCTTGGAAAAAACTTTACGTAGTTCAATATAATGTTTACAGATCAATACGAAATGATATTCATCTTCAACAGACATATTGCAAACAGGACATAGACGTAAACATGATTCAATATATTGTCATCTACCCTCGTTCTGGCGTAAAGGTAAAACATTACATCTTAATTTAATAAAAACACCGCGTACACGTTTACTATTGTAAATACCCAAACATCTTTCAGGTTCAGTGTTATACCATTCTTTATACATCACATATCGGGTACTATTGATGAGTGTTGACATCCAGTTTTGACGAAATGTATCTACAAGACACGTTTTAAATTCCCCAATGAAAGCTACATTGTCCCCATCAGACTGGTTTAACCATACAAATCCCAAAACATGCGAAAATCAAATGCTACGAACAGATGCTACCCAAGTATTACGACCAATGTTGTCGAAATACATCAACATGTTATATACTTTTCTTGGGATACGCCCTTCATGCATTCGGGTTAATTTTAACCACTACTTTATAATACGGACCTGCGCATTGACACAAAGCGGGCAGCGACAACATTCACCGTAGACAATGGCATTTGGCGTTGTTTTCTCACCTTTAAAAAACTTTTACATCTCAAAAGATGAACCTGTTCTAATTGATCATAACGCTGGTAGAATAAGATGAATCAATATCAACTCATTTCCTTACATCCATGTCTTGCCCCGTGAAGATCTGGGTCAGGTCTTCAGCAACCTATGCTCGTCGTGAGAGGCAACTAACGTAATCTGGTGGTCGGAATCGCCGACTTGGTTGATGCATGATGCATATCGTGATGCTCATGATGTCAATGACTGGTAGGTTTGGCCCAGACTCGATTATTTACAAACTTGACCAGGCAATCTGGTGATTGGCATCATGAACATCGATCCACGCAATTAGGAAACGATGACATGCATCAACCAAGTCAGCGAGCCTGACCAACCGATACCCTTAGTCGCCTCTTACGACAAACATAGACGCCTTTTACGGCAAATATGGGTTGCTGAAGATCTATTCTTTACCTGGATCTTCACGCGATCAATGTCGGAGGACGCTACTCATACTAACAATTGGATAATCTGGCCCGGGCTCTGTTCTGTACAGCACGCCTTCAGGATAGCTTAAATATTGCTCACTGCGGCTTTACACAATATTCACTCACACCTACTTCCCATATTAAGTGATTGAGTGGGTTTGATTTAACGCCGCTAAGAGCAGTATTTTAGTTTTTCGCGCCGTGTGAAGGTTACGGTGGAGGAAAGCTCGAAGTGATGCAGGTCTTAGACGCGTCCCACCTTGGTAAAACCCATGAGCACGTGGTGGATGCAAATCTTAAAACATCACGAGGACGAATCGGGGATGTAAGCCCACGGCCATAGGTTTCTGGCACACCTAGGAGGCGCAAATGCGGCGCTGTTGACGACATAGCCACCGCGGCCCCACTTTCCTCCGGCACAATACACTTACTTACTTATTTTGGAGATTTAACGTGCGCTTTCCGACTGATGCGTATTTCGCACACGGCAAAACTTCCGTGGCCAATATTGGGACACAATACATGTCAGGGTGTATCGTTAATACTATTCACCGATGTGCGAACCATAACTCTCTTTATCATTTAACTTAAGCATTTATCCATGACATAAGCTTATGACATGAAAACATGTATGTCATACCCCAATGACATAAGTATGCAAATTAGATATGCAAATTAGATAACCGGAAGAGCGAGCGGTTTGATTTGAAACTATATATTATAAGTGAAGTTACACCAGAGATATAATCAGATTACACAGAATCGTTGTTGTTACCGTCATTAAAGTTTCAATTATTCTGCAAAAGTCTGTTCAAGTATTTTGTTTAAAATAATCCGAGGAACTTTTTTTCTCAGCGAATTGTTTATTTTGGTTTACATGGCTATGGAAAACATGTATCACTACGCACGATCTATACGTAAGATTTCGACAAGTTGCTGATGTTAATGTTTAATGCAATTATTCCTTAATTTGGAAGCAAAAATGTGAAAATGATAAATAGAATTCATCAATCGTGTTTTTTAATATGGGAAATATGAACATCGTCCCGTTAATCGGTATTTGCCTCGCCAAAGGCTCGGCAAATACCGATTAACTAAGACTCAGTTAAAATTTCCCATATTAAAAAACACTCGTGATGAATCCTCTATCTAATTACCATATTATATTTCAAGAACTGTTATGATGCTCCAGGTACAAGGAGAGAGTGAAGGGTACACATTCTCATTCGACCATGGTTACCCTAATGGAAATGGTGGTGGCAAACACATCCTTGGTGATGCTTTAACGCAAGCAAACGGAATCAAGTTTTCTACGTATGACGTTGACAACGATCTCAGCGATGGCAGCTGCGCGAACATACACCAGTCAGGGTGGTGGTTCACGACATGCTTGGGCTACAATCCGACGGGACAACCACAGTCTCCATCTGAAGAGCGAATGTCGCCCGATCCTATCTCACTGTCTTGGCCCGTGAATGGAGACTTGTCACCTCGTTACATACATTTCTTCCTGAGACAGGAATAGTCCGAATATTACAACGGAGTGTATATCATCGGCGGATCCAGAAGGGGTAAGGGTGAGTGTGTGTGTGTGTGTGTGTGTGTGTGTGTGTGTGTGTGTGTGTGTGTGTGTGTGTTATGGGCAGTAACTTCATCTGAGAGAAGATTTTGATATTTTGGATCCCTCCCTTTTCAACTTGCTGGATCCGCCCTTGTACATATATGCAACATTAACTTGTACGTACTTTCTGTCTATGGTAAAGGAAAGGTTTTTGCTTCGTGTTCTCCTTATGATTTACATTTTTAACTTATCTTAATAAAGCATCTTAATTGAACAAAAAGCTTCAAATAACTGTTTTTGATCTTTTCACTGATTACCTTTATCGTTGTGTAAAAATTGTAAAGAACGGTCATACATCTAATTGCGTCTAAAAAATTGTACGTGTTGTAAATCTTTAATGGCGCTGTTCGCTAGCTTCCGTTCCGCGCTTTATTGTGGTACTCACATCTTCCGTATGGATATACATGTAGTTGTTAGATTGCTATTCATGTTTTCCCCATGTCAAGAAACACACTTTGGCTAAGTGCCCCAGACTGTTGTATTGTCCTTGATCATTGTCAATGTAGGCTGGGTTTTCGATCTTTTATATTGTTGCTCATTGATGCTGTAAGCTACTAGTAATAAACTTGTTAACCTGTCACCAAGTTTTCATTATTACTTTATTCTTGTTTAATGACATCCCTGATCATTTGAGCACAGCCACGTGACATACCTATTTGGGAAATCGAACCAGGGTTTTCGGCGTTACAAGCAAACGCTTTTACCACTAGGCTACCCTACCCCACAAGCAATGAACGTTACACAGTTGCAAAGTGTTTACAAAACACAACACACCAAATATACTTCCAAACATCTAACACAGATATAAGGAACATTGTGCATTAATGAGTGAGTTTGGTTTTACGCCGCTTTTAGCAATATTCCAGCAATATCACGGCGGGGGACACCAGAAATGGGCTTCACACATTGTACCCATGTCGGGAATCGAACCCGGGTCTTCGGCGTGACGAGCGAACGCTTTAACCACTAGGCTACCCGACCGCCCCACATTGTGCATTAAAAAATATAGATGCAAGAATCAAGTAGGGCTCCAAGTATCACGCAGCACAAACGTACGCAAAAACGTACGCATCGGGCAACAGAGCGGACGAGAAGTTGTGCTTTTACAATGGTGTGGCCATGGACGATACAAAAAAACGAGTTCCAATACCATTAGTGCTATGCGAATGAGCTTCCGTGGCTTAAATGAATGAATGGAGTTCACTGCCGTACCTGTGGAAAACTCAAACGCAGCCAAAGGCAGGAATCCAAGCCCCGCCAAGGACGGGCGCGCCGACTCAATTTGGGTAGAGATGGTCGCGCCCGAGTCAGGAACACAATCTCCGCGTGAGACGGGCGCACCGACTCGGCTTGTGCAGCGCCAGCTTCGCTAAGAACAGGCATGAGTTGAGACGGTCGGACATCGCCGTTACGAAATTGGCGTGTCCCATCGTGTTTTAAACCAATTACCGACCTCGTCCATATTCGAATCCTCAAAGGGTTTTCATTGTACCAACGCCGTCAAAAGTAGATCATCGCTACGAAATTGGCGTGTACAGGAGAGCCACGGGGTGTTCTAAACCCATTTCCGTCTATGTTCTATTCTTCAAATGGTTTTCTTGTAACAATGCCGTCAAAAGACACCACTTGCGGCAGATCGCAGACACGACATTGGCGTGTGCCGATGTGTCCAGGGGTGATCTAAACCCAATTCAGACCTCGACCATGTTCGAATCCACAAATGGTTTGCTTGTACCAACGCCGTCTCTTGGTCTCTGGAAAGCCATGGAATGGGGGTTTATCGTATAATTATGAGACTCACTCGGAGGAGTCACGCCGCAACGAGTAGGAGGGTCGCCGAGGTGAGCGTCGAAGCTTGGGGCGTGAGCCTGAGTGGACCCGCCTCGGGTGCAGATCTTCCTTCAGTTTCTGGTGTCCCCCGCCGTGATATTGCTGGAATATTGCTAAAAGCGGCGTAAAACCATACTCACTCACTCACTCTTCCTTCAGTATTTGTACACAAATCTGGGTTTTACTAAAACCGCAGAGCAGTGTTACTTTTAACATGCAATCAAGAACAAAGAATGAGGTCCATATGGCACTATAACTTCATGCAAACTTTCAATACTTTTTGGGTGAAGAACCTTACCAGATAGGATCTTCAAGTAAAATTTATGTGAAAAAAAGTATCAAAATCAAAATCCAAGATGGCCGTTACGAAAAATATAGTTCCATAAACGGCTACGCGTGAAGCGCATCGCCGTCGTGGCCAGCGTGGAAAATGTCAGTTCCCCATTAACTAATCACATCGCCCTTGCATTGGGCCCTAACCGACCATGGGTTGGGTGCTAACCTTTACATATTCATGAGTTCAAATGCCATCTTGATATTTGTACTGGATATGATTCTTAGTTTGTCGGCGTCAAGTCGTGGGAATCCACTAGAGAGTTAAAAGATCTACCTCCGGATCCTGATTCACATTGGGCTCCAACAATAAGCTAATCCGTGTCATATAACTGCATAACGTAGTATTTAAAACGGCATAATAGCTTGCTCTCGCGTTCTGAAATACGCCCATACCAGTGAACGATTTCACTTTTTAAAAATTAATTTGTCTTTACGTCGACTGTCTCATATATTTTTATTTTGAAGATACATGTCAAGGTTAACATTGATGCTTCCTTGTATTGCACTGCGCTGTACATAAGATCGGACGATGCTCGTCTGATAATAAAGACACAAGTATCCCACAGCTGTATATCACAATGTGTTCGAATATGCCATATACATTTGTACAACCTGCGATGCGTCATGATAAATTAAATGGTTCTCCATGTTTTTAATTTCGGCTTCGGTTGGATGCTACTGTGTTCCCCGGATGCGCCAAGAGCCTTCTTTGTGTGTAGCGCCTTCTGTGTCAGTCGCTGGAACTCTGTCTTCATGATCTGGATCTCACCTTTGAGCTTTGCAATGTCTACATCAAGCTGACGCATCCGCTCCTCTGAAAAACGTGTTCAACCCATATGAAGAGTCACCGTAATATAGATGCACCTTTAAACGATTAAACTCAAAACGCTACAGAACCGTGAAGATTCGGGGTAGAATAGAATAGCCATAACATCAATGTTACAACTGGTGCATCTTGATTGAACAGTGGCAAAAACAACTTTTTTTCGAGTAAACATTTCTATTCTGTTAGTGTTACACAAATCCAATACCAAAGCCAATCGAGATTTATTTTGGGAAGTCAGTGTCTAGTCATGACGTTTTATTAATTCATGTAGCTAAGACTAAAATGTAATTTTCAAAAGTGTTCAAAGAATTACTGGAAATATTATTCATTTTAACCCATTGTAAAGCTATTCTGCATGTATATAACTGTGTAATTTGACATGCCGTAAGTGACCCGTTATCGTTCGGGGTAGAATGGTCTAAAGCAACCCATGCTTGCCGTAAAAGACGACTATGCTTGTCATAAAAGGCGACTAACGGGATGGGGTGGTCAGGCTCGCTGACTTGGTTGATGCATGTCATCGTATCCCAATTGCGTGGATCGATGCTCATGATGTCAGTCACTGAATTGTCTGGTGCAGATTCGATTATTTGCAGACCGCCGCTAATAGCTGGAATATTGATTAGTGCGGCGTTAAACAAGAAACAATACCTGACGCTACATCTGTTTTAACTGTCTTTGTTTTCAGAAAAAGAAAGTAGGGAGTGAGTTGGGATTTTGGTATTAAGGCCGCGTTGAACAGTATTTCAGTAATATCACGGCGTGTCGGCTTGTTGTGGGACAAAAAAAACAAGGGACAAATGACGCAAGCGTTTACCACTTTAGTGAATCCCAAACCAACTGGCATGGTAGGGTAGAGAGGATGACCCCGATTTCTTATTTTAAGTATATATAATATTTTATCACTGATCAGGGGTACAGAACATACATTTTTAATCGAAAACGAAACAAGAAACTTCCTATAGGTGTTTACATAATGTACGAAAAAGAACTTATAGATATAAATATAACATTTTTTTTCTGATTCAAAAGACCCGGCCCCTATAAAAACTGTTAGAACAGTGAATTGTCAGCTTACCATCCTGGAAATATATCAGTCGTCTTCTGGCGATGAGAAATGTAAGATTGCGGTGTAACTGTAATGATCTGTTGTGAGACAGCGTAGGTTCCATGTCACAAAACATGCTAGGCATTGGGGTGATTGTAGGCAAAGGGTCCAGGTCATCCACGCACCCTGCACTCGTTGATGGGTTCAGAATAAACGTTTCCTGAGACTGGAGGTTAAAACTTCCTGATGTTTGGCTCAGGGAACGACAGGCGTCGGTTTCTTCACTCTCGGGTTCGTTGATTTCTGGTGTGCATCGCCCAAGTTCCTCTGTGTCGTGTTCTGTTTCATCCATGTCTTCTACGGATTCTGACTCGGGTTCTCTATCACCCTGTCCAGACTCATTGTCACACTTACATCCGGTCGGGGTCGACTCGTCGGAGTCATCTGTTGATGCAGGACCCGAGGGTTTAATGTCTGTCTTTTTTATGCTAATCGTGGGCGTTGGTTGTATGTACGTTTTCATCAGGGGTCTGGTTCTTGGACGCATTCTTGACTTCCCCGTTGCCCGATGATTGTCAAGTACTGCTGCAGATCTTTTTGACCGGACCATCTTCCACTTCAAGAAAAGTAAATGAACAATTCAAATATGAATTCAAGGCGTCCATTGTGTATTCTTTACAATCAGTTTGGGGTAGTGGTTATGTTAGCGTTAGCTCGTCGTACAGGGGCGGTGGGGTAGCCCAGTGTTTGAAGGATTTGCTCGTCACGCCGACGACCCGGGTTCGATTCCCCACATGGGTACAAAAGCTGTGTGAAATAATACTAACTTACTCAATCGTCACACTGAAGGCCACGATCCCATTCCCACGTGTGTACAATGTGTCCAGCTCATTTCTGGCTTCCCGGCAGTACGGTTAGTGCAATATTCGTACCAACGGCTACAAACAGTTCAGACGTTTGACGAAGTGAGTGAGTGAGTATGGTTTTACGCCGCTTTTAGCAATATTCCAGCAATATCACGGCGCTGACACCAGAAATGGGCTTCACACATTGTACCCATGTCGGGAATCGAACCCGGGTCTTCGGCGTGACGAGCGAACGCTTTAACCACTAGGCTACCCGACCGCCCCAGTTAGACGAAGCACTGGACATGCTGTAATATTGATTGTTTGCTGGTCGCGCCACGCGGTGTCAATGCAGACATTATTGCATTTTTTGCTACAACTCTGCCACTACGTTTGTTGTTTAAGGACGCAATCGGATCGCCTCCGTGGTCTAGTGGTAGAGCGTCCGCCCGGATAGCGGAAGGGCCGATGATCGATACTGTTTACATTTTCATACGATACAGATGATGTCATTTAATCTTTGTAATGTCAGATCCGAATCTACACAAGGCGAATTTTGCTGACCCCCCTCCACCCGTTGGCCGACTTTGGACATTAGCACAAACATGCTGACCCCCTCCCCCACCCAACCGCCCGCTGACATAGAAAAAATATATGCCCCCCCCCCCCCCCCCCCCCGCACACACACACACACACACACACACACACTCTGAGAAACGCTCCTATGGGCCTCAGTGTAAGGTTTAGTTTGTCACCCACGCCCTGTACAACACTCGCTCACAACATAGCGAGAGTCGCCATTATCTCCTGCAGAAGTAAATAGACACCTTTCAACGAACACATATATAGCCGTAAGGTGTCGTCCAGTTGTACTCATTCTTATTACGAATAACGTTAGTTGGGGCCCTGAGCTGTTAGTGTTCTATAAGATAGTAATGTAAGGAATGGTTACACTACCTCCTTGTATACACCGTGGACCCTATATTGTGTCCATGTATACACTAATCAGGCTCGTCCTGTCCGCATGTCCTTCACCTTGCGTGCTGTATTTAAAGGTGAAGGTCGGCCTACTCAACACGGCTCATTGATTACAGCTATAACGATACCTTGAGGCTGAAGTTCATGAAGGTATTTCGAAATACAGGTAGATATATAGGATGGTCAGTTGCGGCTAATGTTCATGGCGACCCAGTGCATGTCGATGACGAGGTATATATCCGCCCCGTACATCCCAGGTTCAATGTGTAGAGTCATAAAGGCTGTGTCTTCCATGACATTGATGTTTAGAATTATTTGTTAAATAAGTGTAGGCTGTTTCAGTATGACACAAATAATAAGACCGTTTTATTACCAACGGATGCGTCTTCACACTGAAATACAGCATTTGCATAATTATTATGTATTGTTATAAATTAGATAGATAGATAGATCAATCACTGGGTTATCTGGTCCAGACACGATTATTTACAAACAGCCGTCATATTGCTGGAATATTGCTGAGTGTGGCGTTAAAACAATAAACAAACAAAACTACTACAACTACTACTACTATTTGAGTGTCGTATTTTGACACTGCAAATAAATAAATAAATAATAAAATTTTTAAAAAATAATAAAAAATTAAATAAATAAATAGATAAATGAAATAAAATAAATGAAAAATGTTTGAGTTCGGGTTATATTAAAAGCAATGTGACACACGTAATAAGATCGTTTTCATTATGAACGTCTATATTCACAATGAAATTATGTTTGCAGAAAGGTAAATAATCGCATATGTAACATAGTTTGAGAGAAATGTACATGGTAACAATCCTGGCTACAGTTAACATAGAATTGCACAAAACAAATATTGGCGAATGGCACAACACGTTTGGTAACATGACTCAATTTTTGTACCGTACCGGAGAATCTCTTGCACAGAGAGTGCGGTCGGGTAGTCTAGTGGTTAAAGCGTTCGCTCGTTACACCGAAGACCCGAGCTCGATTCCCGACATTAGTGAAATGTGTGAAGCCCATTTCTGGTGTCCCCCGCCGTGATATTTCTGGAATATTTCTAAAAGCGGCGTAAGCTCACTCACTCACTCACTCACTCACTCTTGCACAGAGATCCATGTTCTCATATACAGAAAGTAATATTAGCTTACAGGAGCAAGAGCTGGCGTTGGTCAGTGTATGCCTTTTCGTGAGCAGCACTTCGGCTGTGTTCACTGCTTGCTTTAGGAGGTGAGGATTGTTGAAATTGGGTTTAACGTCGCAATGCACTGATAAAGCGACGTGCATGCACAATATGTTGTGTGTGGCTGCTCGTACTAGTGCGGATTAATGCCGATTTATAGTGCTAGCCCACTGTGATACCATGCCGCAGTTAAACATGAATACCCCACTCAGACACAGTATACTGACTCCGAGCCGACCAGTCCTTGTTTTAAAAGCCGTGCGCGATGCAGGGTAACAACAAAAACCATCTTTTAACGTCTTTTTGGCTGACGCGTCCGGGGATCGAACCCCCGACCTTCCGCTCTCCGGTGACGTTCTACCACAGGACCACGGAGGTTGTCCCTGCTTTAGGAACACACGTACAGGTACATCAACATAGGTGTCCAGTGATAACATATTCTTAAAAAATGATAGTTTTTTATACTGATTTAAAAACATTGACGTAGCTTGTTATTAGGGACAGTTTTGCCGTGTGTGGGCGGGGTCCCGTTTGCTACGTCACAATGACCAAGATAGTGGGGGAATTAACTTGGTAGAGCTGATTAATCGGCTATCACCTTTAAAACAGAGAGAAGGCGGCTGAGTCCCTTTAAGTCTTTATTCGTGGCAGAGAGAGAGAGAGATATTTAAACAATATTACATTACAAGATAGATGCAGTCAATGACTTGTCACATTAAATATATAATTGACAACCATACATGAATTGATAGCGACTGGTTTGAACGTTTCTTAACAGGACTGTTCTAAAAAAAGGTACAAAAAGCGAATTGTGAATAATAACGGACTTGGAAGTAATTTATGCTAAGACATTTCATACAGGAACTGTTAAAATTTACATTTACGGCATTCTAGTGTTACTTGTGTATTTACATACAAATCTTTTTAACATACTGTATAATTTCAATGCCGTAAATGCTTAACCAAATGATAGACGTAGCATGGCCAATATTCGCATGAGACGGTATTTACGTGAGATTACCTGCGGGTATTTACCACAATGTACTCTTTCTCATGCTATGCAATGTACGGCTTTATCTATCACTTGGCATATCAACAGTTAATGTACATGTGAATTAATCTACTAACATCTATATAAACACACACACATACAACTAATATTCAAGTTGCTTTGCGGCATAATGAATGACATACAACTTATTCATAAATATTACAAACCATGGTAAATATATAGTTGCTTGCACAGGATATCATATAAGTTAAAGGCAAGGAGAATTTAACAAGAAAATAATGTTATCTTACCTTTAAAACAGAGAGAAGGCTGCAGAGTCCCTTTAAGTCTTTATTCGTGGCAGAGTGAAGTATCTGTCACTGGACTCCGTATACTAGTATATAGGGACTCAGGCCTTCTGTAGAACGCGTTAGTTACCTAATACTGAAACTATGATCTAAATCTGCCACATGCGTGGTGTATTAATTACAACTATTCGATAGTTACGAAGCGCACTGACCGCGTAATATCCTTTATAATCCACCTATCTGATACTAAAATAATGGTGCGACCGGCCACAGCATGTTACAGCCTGGCCACCTAGCTGAGGTAGATAATCCAGTCACTGGTTTGTGACGGTCAGTCACGTGCACGGCAACTGACTGTCATTATCTACAGAAATGTATTTAGGTTTAGCTAGTTGTAAGATAAAATATTGAGAAAAATACAAAACGTATTATTGAAATATGAACACTATAATTACGGGTTAATTATAGTGATTTTAGAACTATGACATACATGCTCTGTTATACTACACATTTAGACATCAATAATTGTCTAAAGAATGCCACAGTTTGACAATTTCAACAAGGGTGACTATTGTTTTCACACCATAATTTGTACACACACAAAGAGGCCTTGAAAAGTATTCGTTTGTTTGTTGTTTAACGCCGCATTCAGCAATATCCTAAAAATATGATAGCGGCCTGATATAATCGACCGGAGAAACCAGTGATTATTATGTTAAACGTCATCCGCCGATACGATGACACACAATCAACCATGTCACCGATCCTGAACACGCCTCTTGCGACAGGCAAAGGTTACTGGGCATCTATATTATCTCAGAATCCCAACGGGAGAGATGAGATGTTAAAAACAGGTTAACCCGTTGATGTTAAAAAAGCGTTAACTTCAGATTCAATAGTTACATGAAGATCAATGTTAATAACATTCAAAATACTGAATGTACCAAAATCGCGTTTAAGGACAATAGAAATACTCACTGTCTATTGAATTACACACTGATATATGATAAAAACATGGCTCAAATATGGACCGGACTGAACAGAATACAAATACACGAATTAGCAATCAAATGACAGAACAGAGCCCAAATTCTAAACAGACCATAAACACCATATGGTACAACACATACTGCTTACTTACGGCATGTTGTTTGTTTGTTTGTTTGCTGTTTAACGCCGCGCTCAGGACATTCCAGCTATATGACGGCGGTCTGTAAATAATCGTGTCTGGACCAGACAATCCAGTGATTGACATCATGAGCATCGATCCATGCAATTGGGATCGATGACATGCATCAAACCAAGTCAGCGAGCCTGACCATCCGATCCCGTTAGTCGCCTTTTACGACAAGCATAGTCGTCTTTTACGGCAAGCATGGGTTGCTTAAGACCATTCTACCCCGGATCTTAACGGGTCACTTACGGCATGTCAAATTACACAGTTATACATCATGCAGAATTGCTTAACAATGGGTTAAAATGATTAATGTTGCAAATAATTCTTTGAATACTTTTGAAAATTACATTTTAGTCTCATATACATTAATTGATTAAACGTCATGAAAGGACACTGACTTCCCAAAATTAAACGGACATCTCGATTGGCTTTGGATAGAAATGTTTGCTCGAAAAAAAAGGTATTTCTGCCACTGTTCAATCAAGATGCACTAGTTATAACATTGAAGTTATGTCCCATCTCATTTAAATTACAACCTCGATTCGGAAATTTCGATCTGATCAAAAGAAAACCCACACAGAACAAACATATTCTCTCGATAGTACACCATTTTGGGCGTAGACATCATGGCGCTCGGAAACGACAGGATGTATAAAACACAAACAAAATATAAAGCGCGGCCTTTATTATTCCATTCGGAACTGTTCGTTCACGTTTGTTTAGAGGTACAGAAAGATGTGATTCTTGAAATGCTTTGCTGGCTCCTGCTGAGAATTTAGAAGCTTCTCTCTGATTGGGTGATTACAAAGAACACCTGACGCGATCTCTGATGGAGGGGTTGTCAGGTCTTCACGGTGAGGTGAAATGGGGTTTAACGTCGCGTCCAAGATTATTGCACTTCTATAGCGACGTGTTTGTACGCGAGCTGTTTGTACTAGTCCAGACTGATGCCGATTTATAGTGCTAGCCACACTGAGATACCATTCCGCAGTTTAAAGACGTTGGATACAATAAGTGAAACCCACTACAACGCTCTGAGATGTATGACGAAGAGAGTGTATAGTATACTTGTACCGAATAAAAAAACCAATAATACCCTTCCATGCTATTTTTTGTTGTAGGTGGCACCCACGTATAGTGGGGTAGGCCTCAAATGCTTAAGCTGACTCTTTGAAACACATTAACCTCATAGTGTAATTAAACTTACTTTGTAGTATCTATTACTATTTAAGTTTGTTAACTACATACAAGTATGGTGAAAAAAGGATAAAAAATAGAAACAATTGAGGGAAAATAGCAACATATTTAATGTGGCTTGGGTATCAAAGGAGCAAGTACTCATGTAAATAGATATTTAGAAGATCAAAAGCCACTACAGAGTCACCATTTTCACGCATAACGTACAATATCCACCAAGCAACATAAATTTAGAAAAAAATCTGTAGGTCTCCTCGCAAATTATTGAGTATTTGCATGCCCAAAGAAAGCTAGGGGTGTCAATCCTGATACCTGAGAAGGGAGATAACTCATTATCTAGATATAATCAATCACATATTATGCTTGTCATTGAGTATTGTTTAGATATAACATAATAAGCAGGTTTGATGTTCCACAATGCTTTCTGTTTATCCATTAATAGCAATTAATTATTCATAAATAGCTCTGCTTCTCGTACCAAAAACAGAAAGAAAGAATACTTTAGAAATTCAGGGAGGACCTCTTATTGGTTTGTCGTCTCACCACGCAGAAAGGTATCTATTACTGAAACATCTTATTTTAATGTTTGTTTGCAGACAGGGACTTTCTTTATGCATATGAATCGAAATTTCTGTTAGGATTGGCAAAGTCAAAACAAGGTAATTTGGCCAAGAAGTTAAACTTAAGCTTTAGGTACATTGATGATCTGATATCGTTCAAAAACAATCAAATAGCCAATTACCTTCCACTGATTTACCCACCTTAACTAGAAATAAAGGAGACCAGTGAGACCGCCTCATCTGTTTCATATTTAGGTCTATAAATAAAGATTCAGAGTGACAAAACACTCTCCACAAGAATGTATGACAAGAGGGATGACTTCAACTTTCCAATAGTACTATTTGATAGTGATTCATAAACACATGCTCATGATATAGTCGGAATTGTACAATCGACTCTGCTTTATGCAGAGATTTCTATTGGATATGGAAAGGTTTTTGTCCCTTTAGTGGACACATATTTTGGTCACCTGCTATTCTAATACTCCCTGTCTAGACTGCCGGTTATACTGTAAACTATATTGTTTATGTTGCGACTCGTATAAGAAATACAAAAGTGACTGACAAACGTTATTAATAATATTCCAATTATACCACGATGGGAGACACCAAGAATTGGCTTCACACGTTGTACCTAACTGGAGAAAGGAACATGGGTCTCTTCGGCGTGATGAGTCAACACTTTCACAATTTAGCTGCCCAAATGCCACTGGTACCCTTATCACAACGGCCACCAAATATTTATACATCCGACAATTAATGGTCAAAAGACGCGTGTTTGATTGGTATTGTATTTGTTTGGTGTTTAAGCCGACGATTACGCACGGAGGTCAGTATATAGTGTTAGACATGCATACCAGTGGCTGCTCAACATTCCGTGCTGTTGGGGTAAGATGACTCACAATCAGTCAAGCCCGATTCCCCTACTTGTAGACCCTAACGACTAGCATAAGACACTGGAACCTGTCCGATCCGAAATCCCACAAGATGGAAATGCAGTGCTATACAAGAGAGGAAGTTTGCATTACATCCATCATATATCAATTCTATTATACCACCAAATACATACTAAAACGAACAGGACTGTAGTTCAGTGAGTGAGGCCAGGACAATTGAGTTGGGTCCGATGTCTTGTATTGGACTGATGGAGGTTGCGGCTGCCCTGTGGGGTTGTAGCCGTCACATGTGGTGAACCACCACCCAGACTGGTGGACGTTTGCACAGTTCGTATTGTTGTCGTTGTCGTTGTCGACATCATAAGTAGAAAACCTAGCTCCCAGAAACGCAGATAGCCCATCAAGCGCTTGTGAAGTATTGTCTTTGGGTGTTTCAGTGGACGTAAACGTGAAGTTATAACCTTCATTCTCACTGCTCACCTGAAATTAATCATTCTGCAGTTTTATATAGGGTATAAGCCACCTTCAGTATATTTGATAAGCCAATTATAGAGCAAATTGATGTAAAATGAAGTTACCACCAATACCCAACTGGCCGTGTTATGGTTGTTCACAAATATGACTGTGAGCGAAGTGTTGCATAAGGACTTGAGACAAGACTCCAGAAGTTTAATCAATATTGTTCGTGTAAAATTGACTTTGGCTGTAAAGTTTGAAATATTTTAAGTGCCATTCACAATACGCTTACAACACGTGAACTTGATGTTTTATAAATATCAAGAGCTTTAGTTTTGTTTTACTATTTTGAAATAATAATTCCTTCTCAGAATGTGTTCATCAGTTCATCAGTTGTTCTGGTATGATAATAATTAGCAGTTGTTTATGTTAGCCAAAATCAGCACTTGATAATTGTTTTTAAAATACTACAATTTAAATATGAATCGTTTAAATTTCATAAATGTAATTTACACAAACACAGTGTGACACAAAGAGGCTGTTTACAAGTATTTCAAATTCAAACTTCCTGCCATTGTTTCCTACGAGGTCCGAACCAGGGTAATAAATAGTGATGCGGTCCTTCCATAAGTCAGTTCCCACGGAAGATCCGCACCACTACTGATCCGGATCTCTCACTGGCGCTTGACAGGGGGGAAACTGGGTAAATTCCTTGGTTCTTCTCTCTTAGATCTCGCG